ATAAACATACATATGTAGCAAAGAAGAATCTCTTTGAGGTTGAAGCTGGTAACTTCAACACGGAAAAAGACACTTTAACCACAGAGCCATTTAGACACTAGGCCCCATACACCCACAGAAACAAACTTATACAAGCATATACAAACACATACAAACTTATACAAACTTATACAAACACATTACGAAAACACACATACAAATATACAAATACAGAAACAATCAAAAAACAAACAACAGCATACAAACCTCAAGACAAACAAATCCTAATAAACATGCCATTCAATCATGGAACAGTTTGTACGAAAGAAAAAATTCATTAACAGCCCACGTAGCTTTAGAGCTCAAGGCCGTATCCAGCGATTTGATGGTTTTAAAAACTATTTTATTTTACTGAGTTAAGTATTGATCAGTTTTCAAGTTAGATTCATATTTGTAATTATGTTATCTTAGCTTATCGTAAGTTATTAATTATCTTAATAATTATCTTAATATTAAATGGAATGTGAATTCATTAGAAAAATATTTTTAAAAATTTTATTTAATATAGAAGCAAGGGAAAGAGAGAGAAAAACAGTGTGTGTGTGTGTGTGTTTGTGTGCGTGTGTGTGGTACGTTTGTGCGTGTGTGTGTGTTTGTGTTTGTGTGTTTGGTACGTTTGTGTGTGTGGGTGTGTGTGCGTGTGTGTGTAATGTTTGTTCAATGTTTACAAATTTCATATAACTCAAAAAAACGACAACAACAACAATAATAATAACAGTTATAATAAAAAATAACAAAAAATTAGAAAGGAAACAAAGAATTATTTGACGATGGCAGAGATGAAACATTCATTCGTCAAAAAACTTCAATTAAACACATATGACCGTCACATCAAAATAATAATAATAATAATAACAATAATAAAAACAATAATAATAAAAATAACAACAACAATAATAAAAATAATATTAACGATAACACTAACAATAATAACATTAAAAATATGGATAAACCTTTAGCAAACGATTAAAAAACTAGTTTACAAAAGTATTGAATTGTAAATAATTTAAAAACGTCTAATTGTTAATAACACTGAAGAACAACGACTTGAACGAAATATAGCATTGTTCATTTCAAATGCAATCTTTTTAAATAATCACGATTATGATGAATTATGAAAACATTAGTTAGCTCATATCAAAAGAGTGGGGTAGATATAGGGTGAGACTTTGGGAACAAATACCCCAAACAATTAAAAATTTTGCTAAGATTAAAGGTAAAATAAACTAAATTTTTGTTTAAATTTGTAAAAATTTGGACTGAAATCTATTTCAACCTCCCTATAAACAACAAAATTAAAGTAATTTTTGTCTAAAATCTTGGTCTTAAAGTCTTAAGTGCGAAATTAGCTACAAATTCAGTGATAAGAAGAAGAAAAGTTTTTTCAAACAAATTTAAGCCCAATTTTACGGCAAATTTGCGGTCCAACTTTTAAATTTTGGAAACCTTGAAACCATGAAAATTATTCTGGATCCGCTCTGATTGCTTATTAGCAGCAATAGGAGTCATACAAAAAGTACTTACCGTAGTGAACTACAAGCCACAATTAATTACCAGTCTTAATAAGTTACTAGTCGTATTGAAATTCGTAATAAAAAAAAATTTGGAATTTTTAGTCGTAATGGTTGTGAATAAAAATTATCTTAACAGGGAATAACGACCAACCTTTGGATGTCAGTGCAAAAATTCAACGTAAGAAGCCTTCGAGTTTGCTGAGAGGCTGGATGAAGGCAGGAAGAAATTGAAATAATTTTTCCAGATGGCTGCAATGATGAGGAAGATGAGTGAGGGTGCTGATGACAGCAGTTGCGAATATTTAATAGGAAACATCTAGTTTTTTACTTATATATAAATATACTTGTATATATATATATATATATATATATATATATATATATATATTGTATATGTATATATATTGTATATGTATATATATGTATAAATATATGCTTTATATTGGTCTGTGTTTGCCTGTATGTAGTATCCACACACACATCAATTCATAAAGCATGTTTTCAAGCGTGAGATATATAAGTATGTATATATTTATGTATATATGTATATATATAAATATATATACATATTTATATGTATGATGTATGTATATATCACACACACACAAACACACATACAAAATAAGTTGGCCACTTCATAACACATAAACTTCATCTTGTTGATTGTTTGACATTTAAAAATATTACAATATATGATTACAACATTTGCGTGCAGACAGCTTACAATTTCATCTGCCGGTCTGCTAAAACATAACGATACACACACTCACACACACACACTCACACACACACACTCACACACACTCACACACACACACTCACACACACTCACACACACACATACATGCACACATACGCACAGACATATATACATGTCCAATACATATACATTTACGCATTTTACATATTTTACACACGATAATTTATACATGAAAACATCTGATCCATGTAGGACTACATTTAACCCATCCACAGCCCATCAGCTGTCCGTCAAATCATGAGCACAACAAAAATAACAACAATAATATTAATAATTAAAAAGCTAAATAATAATAAGAACAATAAAAAAGACCAATAATAAACGCACATGCATTTTTCTCGAATTAAAACTGAAATTCTGCCAAGTCTCCCAAGTTGCAATTCTCATATTTGACGATGAGTGTTGATTCAGACACAATTTACATGCTGTTGTCACATTGTTTGACCCCTAGTGCTAAAACATCTAACCATTTAAAAAAGAATAAAACCTAGGCCTAGTTACTCCTTTGAATATTTTTCAAACTTTACTGCTTAAGGACTAACGTTTCTTAATTTTATTTAATGTCACGCGGTTTTTGATAAGTTTTTTGTTTCAGTTTGAATAAATATTTTTCATGGCGTACGCTGTCATTGTCAGAGGTTCAGCGAGTTTGCTTTCCATTGATTCACGTGTTTTTATGTTTGACTGCACTTCCATCCGTGTTGGTCTCTAACAAACATCGAAAATTAAAAAATGAAATCAGCAAGCGTGCATTATTACTTCACATAAACTGCTTGAATGTCTTCCTATCCATTCCTGTTCATTTTTATTTTTCTAAGCCTGTGCGACTAACAATAAAAAAAACACCACAAAGAAAAAATATGACTCACAAACGCAAAAGTAAATAATTTGGCGTTGAAAATTTGGAACCCAGCTGACAAATCAAATTAATATGAATTTTGTAACAAATTTTGGCAAAATTTAAAATGTAGATTAAAATTGAAGGAACCAAGGATGAAATTTGAACATTGGAATAAAATAACCTGTGATTCATACATGTCAATTCTAATTCATTATATCAATATTATTAGGAAAAATAAAAAATAATTTACATCTTGATATATTTATTTATTGCTCCGGACATTTTCGCAATAAGTTCTGTTTCCCGTTTTTATAAGTTTTTAGGCTTTAATAAGGCTTTATTGAAGCGAACAACCACGACTCTGTTTAAATTCCACTATGCATCTCTTTATCTTTTTTGCGACTGAAAAACAACAAAAAACAACAAGAAACAAATCAATATTGCTGATTCGTTATCATATCTTCGTTGCTGTTAAGTTAATCTTAATGATAAATTTTTTCATAACAAATATTTTTAATTTTTTAAACAATTTCACTCGATAGCTGTATTTTTGAAATATTATTTATACGCCAGGGCAGGTTTTAAAAATTTTAGTTAAAAAACACCATTGACAAAATAAATTTTTTATCATATAATAATTTTTATTTCGATGTCATGTCTTTGATAACGCCGCCAACTAATAGGGCAGTGTCGAGTTTTGTGGCCAGTTTGGTGGAAAAATAGGATGTGCAAAATTAACTAGAAATGTCTAAACGATGAATTCAAATGTAAAGTATCAATACTTACAATGTGTAAGGTGATGGAATCGGTTATTTAGCGAGCAATCATTCAATTAATTAATCTAATCAGTTAATTAATTAATTAATTGATTAATTAATCAGATTCTAAAATATTTTATTTTATATTTATTGCCTTGTTTCTTTTGTCGTAAATCTTTGTAAATTTTATTTCAAGTTACCGTTGTAAATATTTTGAAGATACCGTGAATATCTGAACTTCCAGAAGACAGTTAGGTGTAATGATATAAAAACTATGTTGTATTAAATTATTAAAACGAAAAATATATGATTGAACAAATAAAATATAAATTTAATATGAAAATAAAAAAAACAATAATATCTTAAAGTAGACATGGAAAAAAGATCAGGGTACAAATGCACAACCGAACAAATTTACTTAAATAGGGCCTAAGTCATTTTCTTGAAAATTTCTCAATAGAAGAGATTGATATATAAGTTCAACAACCTAGCTAAATAATTAACAGTCGAAAAATATTTGCTCATTATTTTTTTAAGCCTATAGTTGCAACCCAAAATCATGATGGTTGATGTTGATGATAAATTAATGATGATAAATCATTATATGGGTGGACACATTTTAGGCGTTTTTTTCATTTATTATCCATCTATTTTTTACTTTCAATCATTCAATATAATAATATTATTACCAATTTTTTTGTAATTTTGAATGAAAAATTGCGTAATGATATTATAGTTTAAAAATTTATAATTAAAAAAATTTAGAAATTTAACTTTTTGCATTTTAACACTTACATAAAAAAAGAGTTATCGGATAATCAAAAAAGATATTACTATAATAAATCGTATTCACAAATTATTTAAATGAACATTGATAAAGTAATTTTTTAAACCTAAATCTCATTTTAAATTTTTTTTGAAATCGAAAGTTGGGAATCCCGACGTTTCCTCCAGGTTTTACCCGTGCTGCTGTGTTACATGGAGGAGAAATGAATCCTAGATAGTGACCTCCTAAACTTAACATAATAAATCATTTTTTATTTTGTGTTATTTAACAAATTTAATGCAACAATCGGTTATTGTACGTCATGCCAGTTTCAAAAGTTCAACTGCCTAAAAATTATCAACCTGAAATCTTGGAGCTGTTAAAATCTAACAACTTTATTAATAATTCCAAGAAAGTTCACGATGTTAATGCTGATTTCAAATTTGATAGCAATGGAAAACACATTTCCATTTCAAGCAAAGACGACGATACTCTGTATAATGCTGTCAGGAATATACAAAGACAAATAGACTCAATAAAAATATCAAACATTTCACCAACTTGTATCAGTCAGACGTTGTTGCAGAGAATTGTTCAGAGTGATGTTTTTCATGGCTGGTTCAAAAACTTCATGAGGGATAACGAGGTTAATGACGTGATGTTGATCGACAAGAAAAACAATGAAATTGCAGTTATCGCTATTATGGATGCAAAAATAAAATTGTTCACATCTTGGTTGAAGAAAGTGGTTGTAAAGGTGATATACTATATTTCATTTATATTTATATTCAATAAATATATCACTATAATAATAGTTCAATAGTCGTTTACTTTCATCAACTAGTTATCTAGATTTGAAAGTCCTATAAATTTCAAAACATAAGTTGGCTAATAAATAAACTTTTTCTATTCTTTTCAGGAGCATATAACATTCCTTCACTTGCATAATGAAACAGCATTGGAAGAGTTGGGCAAATTCTTCTCCCACCTTCAGTCAATTTATTACATCGTTGTTCATGTTGCAAAAAATTCCTTAAAAATTGAAGGCTTCGTACCGGATGTTTACCCTGCAAAGTCTTTATTAATGGAAAAATGTAAAAATATATCCGAGAAAATTACACATGAAAATTTAAATGAAAGAAATTATAAATTCATATCAGCTTTCAACTGTTTGGAGTGAGAAATTTTTTTTATTTACTTATTTTATAATAATTCAATCATAAAATTTCATTCAATTTTAAAATTTTAAGCTTATTTGGTAAAAATATCCCAAAATTTTAACCAGATAATTTAACAGCTCCTCATAATGATATATTTTTATCTCTGGATGTTGTTCAATATATATGCTCATTAAAAAATTTTGGTGTTTTATTATTATTTTGAAAAATGACAGAATGCTTAAATTATTAAATACTGAAGTTTGAATATGTGGTTGTTTGAAAGTGTTTGTTGTGCATGTATGTGTTGTGTATATTATGGAGTGTGTTTGGGTAAGAGAGAGAGAGGAGAGAAAGAGAGAGAGAGAGAGAAGTCATACACAAAACGTCAACTTCTATTGACATTTTACGTTTAACAAAGTTAAATTTATGGCATAAGGATGTAGCGTAGCATACAATCTTAGTTATATAAATTATAACTAAAAATTTTTTCACAATATTAATAAAACTTTCAAGTTTAGTATTCTAGTATTATTTTTATTTATTAGAATTATTATTTTTTTATTATTTTTACAAATATTATTATTTTAAATTATTTCCACCATGCATTTTTCAAATAACAGAGGCAGTTCATGTGTGCTATTGGAAGGCAACCAAGTTTGCGTGTGTTCAAATTCAAATCAAGCCAACCCAGCCATACTTCGTATGAGTTTGCCAACGTGTAATGTACTCGTCGAAAAATGTACGTTTATATCATATATATAATGAAATAAAATATGGGCCTTTGCTTTATAAAATGTATGCCTGAGAGTTGTAAGAAGTAATAAGCATATGAGTCACTGAGGGGTAATTAGCATCTTTGGTATATATATATATAAATATATATATAAATATATATATATATATATATATATATATATATATATATATATATACACACATATGAAGTAATAGTTGAGCTGCCTGGCACTGCTGTTGTACCTAAAAATTTCTACAGAGAGAGAGAGAGAGAGAGAGAAAGTTGTAAGAAGTGTGGCGCTGCCGTTGGGCCTCAACGCATTCGAAGCCAGTCACTACAGAGTAGTTTCAGACTCCTTTTACCTACCATTGCACAACTTGCTTCTCATTTAGTTACGCTCTCCAATGTCTAACATTTGTTTCTTACAATCAAATCATACAAATTGTCTAAGCTTTGTTTTTGTGAAGTTATTTATAAATGAGGTAAGTGATAACGAGTAAGCTTCATTATTGAGAAATTATTTTTCTATCTTTTATACAAAAATAAAACAATATATTAACCTCAGTTCTGTTTGAAATGTGGGGTGATAGTGGATTGGACAGAAGCAATCTTGAAGTTATCAGCCGAGATTCGAGATGCATCTTCTCATTGGACCAACGTCACAGTAGGACTGCACCTTACATCACCTTCTGCAGCGACCTCCATGAAAACATTACATCATGTTCGGATAGGTTGAGGAGACACGTAGATCAGAAATACTCGAAGATAAAACTATCAACAGACGTTAAATTCGATTTTGAAAGCTTGAAAGAAACCATTGTAAACGACTCAATCACCACTGAACGGTCACCACAGATGCACTGTGTCACCATCTACCTACTTTCTGAAAAGTTTGCAGTCGTGGAGAGGCTGTTAAAAAAATTTTTTAACGAGATAGAAGCCCGCATGAGTATCAACTCATTTTTATGCAGTTTCACACTGCATTTCAACGTGGATCGGGATAAATCGATGCTAACGAATGAATTCCGAGCACCTATTTCTACGATAAATGTTCGGTTGGAGAAGACAGCCAGCAACTTTAAAGCCAAGCTGCCATGCATTGTGAAGCCTAAAGCCACTGGAACCTGTAATGTAAATTTTGTAGATTATCTAAAAAACCATTTTCAGTCCAACTGGCTTCAACTTGCTGATAATAAAATTCAATTGGAATTTGAATTATCCAGTACAAGAACGATCCCCATTTATCCAAAAAACAAATTTGTTGATTTGTTAATGCCTATTAATTTCGCTCAGCCTCTGGAAAAGAGTTCAAGCAGTAAGTATTTTGTTTTTGTTGCTGCTGTTGTTGTTGTGTTTGTCGTTGTCGTTGCTGCTGTTTTCAGTTGTTTGTTGAATATTTTTACAACACATTCGTTTGAAAATGTGTTTATAAATTGACGATGTTGCCAAAAATGTTCAGTTCTCATAACGAATTCTTTGCATTAGTGACAAAAAACAGTCAAAAAGTTAATAAAGTGAACGCTTTCTTGTGCATTATGTTGCTGTAAAATTAATTGAAAAACTATTTCAATAGAAAGACTGAACCGCATGGCGTCCTAGATATGAAGCGAAGTTCAAGCTCAATTTCAACTGCCCTGTTATTTTATACATGCCTTTAAACCAAGTTACATCGCATAAATACTCGATAAAACATTCCTACTATATGAACCGGTCTGTCAAACTCAACTTGCAAGCCGAGGCTACGTTCTGCCGTGAAAGTTTAGAAACCTGTCATTTATATAAAAACAAGCTCTACTCGCTTTTCTTCGTTGTTAAACTTTCCCTATAGCGATATTTAGTTTTTCATTTAAAAAGTCTGCTGCCGTTTAACAACGTTAAAGCAAAAACAAATGATTTAAATTTTTCGCTTCTCACACTTGCAGGTGTCTTGGATGGCTTAACACCGAAGAATGATGAAAAACTTCTGTTCTTGCCAGTTGATGTTGACTCCAGCCTAGCAGATTTCATTAACAAGTTAATTTTGACCAGCGTGAAGCCTGCGATATTTTATAAGTATGCGTGCCATGCTGCCATTGAAAGTAATTCATCAGTTATTTGCTTCATAACATTTTATTTGATAGGTACACTTTATATTAAATTTCCAGGCTCTTTTTGTTTTGTAATTTAATAAAATTTTCAACCGTAAAAGATATATTCCTTTCACAACCATCCCTCCTATCCAAACTCACCGCAAAGTGATTGCTTCTTTACAATTTCACCATGAAAACAGGCGGCTTCACTGGAAGGATGTTGATATGCAAGGTGCACATTGGAAACTGTTACGAGGTGAGAGAAGGCAAGACTTATGATTCGTTGAAGCCCCCATGTGTGGAACTCTCCAGATGCCCTTTATCATTCAAGGATGGGTCGTGCAGAACTCACGCCTGGTACGATAGTGCAGTTTTGAAAGAGCGTATTGAAATTGGCATGAATTCGCCTTTATCGGCAACGAGAAATGTTCATACTCTGGAAAAATTTATATTGAAAGATAATGATACTATCCAGTACTGTCCGTTTGCACTTGTGGAATACAAAACGTCCGTTTGTAATTCGGACTGCACCATCATTTAGTCGTTGGTGGTCGCAGATTTGGAAGAATGTTACTTTTTGATAAAATTATTTTTTTATGACCAATGTTTATGCCACACAATTCATATCCTATAATTGTTTGTTTTAAAAGCATAACAGTTTTCGATTTTTAAAATTTTGAGAATTATTGGTATTGTAGTCGATCATTATTTATCTATATTTTTTAAAATAATCGGTTAGCGTTACTTTTACGTAAAGTTTATTGCAATATTTCTGATTTTCGTCAACTTACATAGTTTTTTATTTTGACGTAATAATGTCTGCCACTAAAGTTGATTTTAAGGATTGTATACATTATTTTAAATTATTAATTTTTTTTTATTGCTTAATGATACATATTCAGATTTTTAATTTTTCATAAAGTTGAATGAATTAAAATTCTATTAAATCACAAACACACTAGCTGTTAGTTTTTATATAGACGTTTATTCGACAATCACAAATCCAAATGAGAGTCATTTACTATTAAAATGTTGATTTCCTGGACCAGTCGGAACCAAAGCTTGCAAAAAATACAAGCATCACAACGGTGATAATAAAGTATATGTCAAAAAATCCGTAAACAATTATTTCAACATTTTCTGTTACCCAAATTTCTGGTGAGTTGTTGTCTACTTATCTCGCAATTTTATTGTCCCTAACAACTTGCATCTTTGCGATGAGACCCTTCTCTCTTCATTATTTAGGACATTATTTTCATTGTCATCGTTATTTCCCACAATGACGACACTGTCAACTTTTCCAACTATTTGTTTCTCTTTGAAGTCCATATTTTTTGTCTGGCAGTTCACCGCCATGAACGTTTTACGATTGGCGTTCCTCACTAAATTCAATAAAAATCTTTAAGTCAATTGAATTTTTGTAGCTATAACCTTTCCTGCGCCTAAGACATTTCTCTAAAGTTGTTATGGGGTATTCCTTGACCATTTCATGAAACAACTCTTTTCTCAACTTGGTTATTGAATTTCTGTGGTTACCTTTGTTACAATGTCTGTCCTGTCTGAATCATGTAAGAATCGGAGGCAGGCTGGATGGGGTCTCTTGATTTTCTTTCGGGATTATATCTTTTTGGCGATTTTATTAATCAACCTTTTTTTGAGGTTTGTGACTCAACTTCAAAATTGTGTTCCAACGAAATTTCATGAGTTTTGAATTCGTGATAGAATTTATACTCCAGAGATTTTTTCATATTCAGCAGCATTTTTTCAAATTCTTTCGCCATTTTATCGTTTGTCCAAGTAATGGGTAGAAAAATATTATTAATAGTACAAGCAGCTCATCGTATTATATACCCGACTAGAACATATAAGTACAGAGCTGTGTATGCCCAACACGAACAAAGACTTAAGATTAAAATGCCAAAAACAGTGGACGATTTACAAGAGATTTTACTGTTGCAATTTGAATATAACGTTCTACAATCAAAAGTAGCTCTATATTATATCAAAATAAAATATTAACTAAAGAGAATATTAAACTTCTTCGTACTCATGTAGCAAAGTTGTTAAAAATATCTTTTAAAATAATTTACTATTTGGATAGATATACCGTAATTAGAGGGGATTACGATACCGATACCATTTTTTGAAAATAAAGGTTTTGGTAAAAAATTTAAAACATAACATAAATTAATTTTCCTAAATAAGATTGAAAGTTTTAAAAATTGAAAATATCATTAACCACTTCCGAAATATAACAACATGCATACAACACGTACGCACACATATATTCTGACATGATGCATATGCATCTATAATAAGCAGTCGAGTATAATGTACGTTTGATATATACATATATACATAAAGTTGGCATGTCATTCTTCCTAGCAAATATTCTTGAGGATTAATTAGTAAGATATCAACCATGAAAGACAATAGAGTGTAGTGTTTGTCTGTTATTACAAAGGCTTCATTTTCATGGATTAGAATTCAATTAAGTTTCCACAATGATAAGGCCATTTCTGTCTTTCATAATTTTAAAACTAATTTTAATCGCTAGTGTCGATTGCAAATGTTTCCAATTCAAAAGCAATTTAGTCAAATCATCAACTAGTATGAAATCGATTGGGAATTGTGCAGGCTGCAACCTATGCGGTATGTGGGATGCAACGAATGAGAACTCTTCAGCCAACCTTGCATTCCAGGATGCAAACACAGAAGATGTTCCTCAACTGTTGATTATAAAATGTGCTTGGATGTGTGAAACCTCAGCTGCGTTTCCATGCGTTGGATTCAACTTCAGACGGAAAACAGACTCCACTGAAAATGTTCTTTGTCAGTTCTTCTCCTACACTCCTCAACTCTATCTCTCCGAGGATCTCTGCGTTTATTACGGGGTGAACAATTTTAAGACTGAACTTAATTTAAATAAAATCAAATTTTTAAAAATTTTATCAAGTTAACATTTTTCAAATTTAATCAATGTTTATGTTTGGTATGTTTATTAAACTGTAAGCTAAATTTTCAGGACCGATCAACCATGGAGCCACTTTCCAGCTATGTGCCAGGTGAGTAGAAAAATTTCAAAATCATTCATTTTAAGTTTGGCGATGCAAAAATAAAAGCGACAACGTTTGAAACCAGCACTTGTGATTTTTGGCTCAAAAATGTGCTTGTGAAATGATTTAATTCGATTAAATTGTAATTTATCAAAAAACAAAAAATCTTTCAGCGGATCTGTACCCAAGAAATCCTCACTTCTGTTCCGGTAACACAAAGAGCAACAAATATTTTGTTAGTCAGATTAGGTTTTTATGTAAATATGCATTATTAACTAATTTCAAAATATTTCTATCTTAAACAAAACTGCAAACGAATGACATTTTATTTAAATGTTGATTAATTTCAACTAAAAGTGGACGAAACTACTTGACGTCAACCGCTTGAATGTTTAACTCTGTTGACACGATGTTATTCGTTCATTCAACCTCGCCAGGTTATGCAGCGTCGCATGGATGGCTCGGAGAACTTTAACAGAAACTGGACTGATTATGAAAGAGGATTTGGTGACCCGAGGAAAGAATTTTGGATCGGTTAGTTTCATTTAATCACTCAAACGTGAACTGCATAGAAACTTTTCAACCAGGAAACGACAACATCCACCGCATAACGTCCAACAAAAAGTACAAAGTTTTGTTCGTGTTGGAGGATTTCGAAGGGAAGGTGGCATGTGCAGCTTATGATTCATTCAGTGTTGGCTCGCCAGATACTTACTACGTTCTGAACATTGGAAACTACAGTGGAACCGCTGGTCATTTCAAACTTTTGTTTTATTTTGTTAAATCGTTGTCGTCATATCTGACTTATTTTTATGAAATTGACCAGGGGACTCAATGACCAATCAAAACCAAATGGCATTCACGACGCACGACAATGATCACGACTTCTTCACTGGCAATTGTGCCCTGATATATCACGGCGGGTGGTGGTACAAAGATTGTTATGAAGCCTTTCTCAATGGCTTGTACAGCGATGGCGTTAATTGGTGGACGTTCGGTGGTCATTCGCTGAAATTCACCGAGATGAGAGTTGAATTAATTTAACAGCTTCATTACTTTGACATCCGATTTGTAATAAGATTGGAAAGTAAAATTATTTCTGAAACACAAATTTAAAATTTGCTCAATAAATTGGTATCAACAAAATTTGTAAAACCAGATTAAATTATAAGAATTTGTGTAATGTGTAGTAATGAAGTGAACGGAAACTAGAAAAAAATGGGGTCATCAACTTGAGAATTTTGAAAATCATCCTTTCCACCAAATCGGCAACAAACGTGAATATTTCGAAATTTAGCTAAAAAAAAGTTATCAACAGTAGAATTTTAAAACCACCCCCACCACCACAATATTCTGGAGTCGACACTGGTTTTTAAAACATTATATTTTTTAAATAAAATCTTAACAAATATCCTTTCATAAAACTAGAAACAAAGATAAATTTTTGGCGAGAGAAAGCAATCCCAAAATCCTTCTTAGCTAAATAATTTATTTACACCAACAGTGTTAAACTTGAAAATAATCTTTTGTATCGACTGTTGGTCTGATAAAAAACTTTTCCGACTCCGACTACCTGATTGAAAATTTTCCGAATCCGAACACAGAATACTTTTGGCTAACACACCCGCCTTCTAATTAATAATAATTATTATTATACTAGTAATAATAATTTATCTACACACACATGTTTATTTGTTTTTTGTTTTTTTTTGAGAACATTCTTCCAAACGGTTGCATTTGGTATTAAATTAGGCTTAACGATCTTGAGAAGTTTCTTTTGACGTTTCGTTAACAGTGGTTTTAATGTTATTACAATGCCTTGTTAGTTGGGATCATTGGATGATGATGAAATAACAATATACATAATGATGATGGTATAATGATAAGGGTAAATAATATAATGATGATATAATGCTATAATGTTATAATGATGATAATGTAATTAATGATAATAAAAACTTACTTTTTCAATATTTTCACAAACTCATTTCATTTTGTTTAAATTAATTCATTCACCAAAATTTTTAGATTAACTATTTTTTATTCTATAACTTTAGATACGTTTCATCGCTATCTTAGTTTTATTAGTTCATGATGAAATATTTCATATTTTCACTCATTTTTATCACATTTAAACGCACTTTTCTCAACAATTTTTTTTAACCAACACACATACACAACACACATACACTCAGATACACTTACACACACGCACCTCATGCACGCATATATACGTACGTAACACACATATACACACAAAGCCACATATAAACACATACACAAAAATTTTTTTTACTATGAAATTAAAATTGAAAAATTATTTATTATTCATTCTTTCAACCGTTCATTGTTGATCACCGTCCCGTGCAAAATTAATTGCTGAGTTGTCTCGCGTTGTTAAGGTATCCATATATAATTCGAGAATAAGAAAAATTAGAATGTATCTATCTATCTATCACGTGAGAATAATAAAAAATGAGAATGTATCTATCTATCCCGTGAGAACATCTGTTATTTTCAAAACGATACGTGCAGTATTTGTCATATCATTATTGCAGCAATAATATGGATCTGTGACTTTGGTTCTGTTCTGTTTCTTTAATTATAGATTATTGTAGAGGAAGGATATTAAAAGGCACGTGCAGTATACAACAAACAGTGAATATTACGTTAAATAAAGATTCTAATGCAAGGATGGTAGAAATAGCATTAGAAAGATTGCCGAGAAATTTCAACACAAATTGCGAACATTCGCGAGAACAGAGAAACGATTAAATGGCAGTGGAGGTCAAATCAAAATGACGAAGAGGAAGGAGAGACAAGAATTCATATCTACAAGAAAGGCATTGTAATATGCCAGGAAACTAACATATTATTCAATTCGTGAGAGCAATAAGAAAATGTCTAAATTTTCTGAATACATTGAACTGAAAATACTTCAGAAAATGAGATTTTTAAAACTATTTGTAATGCGAGACAACCAACGAAGATTTTTTGGCTAAATAAAAAAAGCAGCTATTTTGTTTTGCTTTTAAAAACAATATTCGAATATGGTAATTGAAATTATTTAAGGTTGAGTCTTCATGAGAGGACAGTTCCAAAAAGTGGACTGTTTGAGCAATCCCGTCGGTGTCCCCACTTGAGGACTTTTATTAGTCAAATTGTTAACCAAATCAGAAAAATGCCCATCTCTAACCATCTGTAACACATTTCTATTCTTTTTTAATCATTTTTTTTTAAATTTGTAAAATGATAGTTTAAACTTAACTCTTACAAAGTATTCTTAAAATGAGAGGGTGTTAAGCCATAAACTTCCTCTTGGCTTTCTGGCAATGTTTCTGAATATTTTTATTATTAATATCAATATTTTTATTATTATTATTATGTTAACTATAAATAATTTTATTTATTTATAAAACTATGCGCACAAAAAAAAATTTCCCCACACTAATCACCAGCATTAAAGGATCAAGACAACTTATGTATCAAGGAAAAATAAAAAAAAAGGAAATAAAGAAAGAAATGAACAAATGAGTAAATAAATAAATAAATATAAAAAAAAATAAAAATATACAAAAGCTATTCTGCCTATGCAAAATTTAACGACAGTTTGAAATGAAAATTGTAAATATATGTTGAATCAAAGTTTAATGAGAAGGCAGCGAACAGTCACTAATATTATACATTTGTTCGATTATACCTACATCCGTTGTGTTGATGCTTTAAATATTTTATTATACATATATACATATATGTATATATATATAAAGAGAGAGAGAGAGAAAGAAAGAAAAAAAAGAGATATAAAATCGACAGTAAAAGAGAGAAGAAAAGATTTGAAAATATGAAAATAGAGAAACAGAAAAGAGTAACTGAGAAGGAGGACATTTAATCGTTTATGTTACACCAATCTTATTTTTTCGAGTTGCTAAACATTCACAGTGACAAAATGCTCAACGTTTATATAATTTTGAATTGTTTTCTAACCGCTGCAGTTCACAATAAATGTTTTCGGTCTCGAAGCAACCTACTTGCTCTGACAACCGACCTGACATCAAATGGAAGTTGTTCCAACTGCAGTCTCTGCGGCGTGTCAGCGCAATCTGCACCAACCTCTGTAGAGAACATAACATTGCAAAGCAGCACCAACGATGCTACCAAGATGTTGATGGAGTGTGCTTGGATGTGTCAAACTACTGCTCAATGTGTTGGATTCAACTTCAGATGGAATAAAATAAACTTAGCTGAAAATGATTTTGTCAGTTCTTCTCCTACACTCCTCAACTCTATCTCTCCGAGGATCTCTGCGTCTTTTATGGGGTGAGGTTTTAATTTAAATTATCAATTATCTACAAGTTGATAATTGTATAATTTAAAATACAAATTTGAAAATTTTTATCAATATGTTAAATTAACTGCAATTATTTAAATTTAGAAATATTTTTTTTTAGAATCTGACAGATTTGAACAAACTTTCCAACTTTCTGCCTAGTACGTTAGCTATTGTTACTTAAAATCCATGAATGAACTGTTCAGCTGTTTTATCAAATCATATCATTATTAAATGAATGCTTTCATATTCAGTTGGCTACTTAAAATATTTGACTAAATAGTTTGAGCCAAATTTACGTGCTCCTGATGTTCTCGAACAAATTTGCAAATTTATTTCCAAGTTAAACGGTCTAAAATGGCTTTATTAAACTTTTCCGTAGACCAAACTTAGAAACAAAAAACTTGTTCAGTTTCAAGCATTTTAATGTATGTAGAATGCTTTTTCAAATAGGAAGTTATCATTCGACTGACATTAAATAAAAATTGTATCAGGTATTAGGTTTTTCAACTTAATTTATTCAATGTTTTTTGTATTAATTTTAAAAACTTGTGACAATTCTGCTTTTTGAGGTCTGTATCCGAGGAACCCGTCGTTTTGTGCAGAATATTCAACGAAGAACAGATATTTTGTGAGTTTTATTGAAAAATAAGAACTTTAAAAATACTTTAAATATGTTATATGAAACTCCATTCGCGGTTAAAGTTACGATATATCTACAAGACTTTCAAAACTTAATTTAACTAAATTTTGACATCTTGAAAAGAAGTGTTCAATAAATAAAGAAAAATATTTAGATTATGAAACCAAAGTAACCAAATAAATATCTGAAGGTTTACTAAACATTAAAAATTAAAAGTTTTTAAAATATTAAATAAAAAAAATATTAATATTCTTCATGTGATTTGGAAAAGATTTGGCCAACGCCTTTGGCTCATTATGAAATAAATTGAATTGAATGAAGCTTTATCTTGATATAGAAGATGACTGTTTGTCTCGTCTGATGACTCTTGACAGAGTTTTCCTCTTTGCAAAAAGTCATCAAAAACTTTAGTAACATCTCATGCAAGAAAGAGAAAAGAAGGAATTGAAACTGATTTAGGAAAAAAATCCTGTTATCCGGTCAAACGAAATCTAACATTACGATACCATGTGATGGGTAATGGGTCCTGCTGTCTGGAATGGTTTGCCTAGGGACTCTCTGGCTCTCGTCACATACGGCACACCGGATGGCAACAGAAAATTGCAAATGAAGAGGTATAATGAGATTTGTCAGATAGTGATGAGAAGAAAACTTTGACTCTTTTGTCATATTTATAAATGATTGATTGATGACGGATTCATGAAAAATTAGTTTGGCTGAGTGATGATAACAGAAAGACAAAAGAACGTTTGTGAATGGCTGGTTGGGATATTGCAATGAAGACATTGGGTCGTTGAGGAGAAAACAAACGACAGAAATACAGGGAGGAGAATAATCGACAGACCAACACCAACGAGCACTAATACCAAAAAGAGATAATGACGATGAAGATGAACAAACTTGAGATTAACGACAAAATTAAAAAATCGGTTTTCCAGATTGACCAGATATTTAATTTACTGAAAAGAGTTTAGTTGATAATGCTTTAAATATATGAGTACGCCTAATAGAATGAGACCTAAAGCTACTAACATTTTTTTAATCTATCAAATTAAAAAATTTTTCAACTAAATTAGCTCCTTAAATATATGTGTCAACCTAACCTCTCCAGGTTATGCAGCGACGCATGAATGGCAGAGAAAACTTTTACAGAAACTGGACTGAGTATCAAAGAGGATTTGGAGATCCGAAGAAAGAATTCTGGATTGGTTTTTTTTTTTATAAAAAAAATACGCAATATTATTAATGAAACTATTTATTAAAAAAATTTCAACCATTTCAACCAGGAAATGAAAACATATACCGCCTTACAGCAAAGAAAAAGTTCAAAGTTTTGTTTGTGTCGGAGGATTTTGAAGACAACGTGGCATGTGCAGCTTATGATTCATTCAGTGTTGGCTCGCCAGATACTTACTACGTCCTGAACATCGGAAACTATCACGGAACAGCAGGTCATTTAGAGTTTACAAAATTATGTTAAATCAAAATATAATTCTGTTTAATCATAAACATCACATTTTAAATAATTTTTAATAAACATCAACAGGGGACTCAATGATTAATAGCAACGGCATGGCATTCTCAACGCATGACAAGGACAACGATGTTCGTGACTTCGTGACTGAATTTGAAGTTTCCATCAGTAAGATGCCTGATAACACCGATCAGGCCCTGTACATTTGAAACTACTGGCTGTAAATATGTACAAACAGCTTTTGCTTATATGCTCCTATACACGATGTATATATGTATATACTTTTGACATGTAAATACTTTTCTATGTATATATGTCTGTACTTTGTAGAGTGTAAATAGTGCCTTCTGTATATATCTGTGTAGGTATATATTTTTGTAAAGTGTAAATATATAAATAATTAAAAAAACATAGTCGATGTATATATGTAAGTACTTTTGACATGTAAATACTTGTTTAAAATCTTTCTATGTATGTGCTTTGTAAAGTGTAAATAGTACTTTCGGTATATATGTGTGTATATATTTTTGTAAAATATACATATTTGTTTAAAAACGCTTTCATGTATGTTTGTATGTATGTATTAATTGTTGTCAAGTGAATATATTTTGATGCATTTACTTAAGAAAAATTTCCAGCTTAGCTTGCTGACTGTTATTTCATGGGAAAAATAAAATTTCAAATCTATGAAACGAGTTCTTTTACTGATTATACTGAAAAACAACGATTAAATAATGAATGAATGTGTGTATGAGTGTTAAATTGTTTTACAACAATTAAATCATCCACGTAAAGTTTAGAAGTAGTAGTTGTAGTAGCAGCAGCAGTAGTAGTAGAAGTAGTAGTAATATATAAATATAATAATATATATAATATAGTAATATATAAATAATAATTACGTGTTCCTTCTTATTAAATATCTTACATACATTATATATTATGCACTGAAGATGAGTTATTTATAACTCGAAATAGCTATCTGCAAATTTATTTTATAAAATTTTTAAAACAATTAAATGTCTAATTTTTCTGACATTAATAAATTAAAAAGAAATATAAAAAAGTTGAACAATGTTGAAAGTAGTGTTGAATTTTTGATATATATATATATATGTATGTGTGTGTATGTGTGTGTACAAAAAGCCATATACAAACACCGTCGCTTACGTATTTGCATGTTTGTGTGTGTGTGCGTAGTACAACGAACACAGTTTGGTTTCAGTCTTTCATGCTATATTAACAGTTCGAAGAAAATAAATTTTCATCCAATAGCCACATTCATACACGCCACACCCACACACACACACACACACACACAAATGCACCCATACACATATATGTACTGTATATTTCTTTATACGTATGTACGTTACGGTAGACAGGTAAACAAAATAGATTCATCTGCCAGTTGGAGAAACCGTTTCTTCAATTTGATAGTTTTCTTTTTATTTTTTGAATAAAAAAAAGATGGCAGATACCTACTGCCCCTATTTTTAAAACGTAATGGAAATTATAAAAATAATAATAATAATTACATATTTTACTGTCGTGTTCAGTAAATCCAGCTAGAGTCTGTTATTTCTGATTATTTCTGTAAAGGAATGATTTGTCTAAAATTCACTGTGTTTTGTAGCGTCAGCATAAGGTTAACAACAACATTAGTTGAACAAATCGTATAAAAAACCATTTGATTTTGGTATGATAGAAATGTAATGCTTTAAATAGATGTACCATCAACATTAAACAACAATCGTCTTTCAGTCATAATGCATAATTAAAGATTCAAATGATAATTGTCGAATTGATCCATTAGTGACCTTATATACGTTCAAACATCCGACAGGACACCAACATATTGACATTTAAGCCGTCTTGTGTCATTGCGAGATTCATGTATCAAAATTTGGCAAACGCCAACGCAGAGAGAATTCTGTTCCTATGCTTCATTTGCCACCAGATTATTATTATTATAAGCATCCCTGCCATATAGCACTGATACACTTGAATCATTTGGCGCTAGGAGGTAGAGTGAGGTCAAGATTTACAATTTTAACGATTTATTACACATCACTTAATGTGTAAAACGTTCGGAAAAAATTTATGGGACGAGATAGATGACAGTTTAAATTTATTGAAATGAAAAATGAAAAGACAAATGAAACAAATCAAACTGATATCTTAGTGACCTCGTTCAAATATTCGACACAAACATGACACCGACGTAATGATATTTAAACCGCCCTTTTGTCTGTCGATTAAATTTAAAAATTTGGCAATCATGTGTGTGAGAATTCTGTTCTTCTGCATCTATCACCCCAAGATTATCATTATCGGCATTCCTGTCTTGCACTGATGAGGAGTTTGAATCATTTGACGTTTTTTTCTTCTTCGTGTACTTTGCCAGATTAATCTTTTGTAAATTTCGATACCTATTTCTTCCAAAGATGTAGAGGCAGTTGTTGATGGTGATGGATGGTGCATGAAAAGCAGGCCTCCATAGGTTAAACACTGATGTCCACTGATCAGTCTCTACATCATACATCTCTCCATCCTTTGTTGATTGAATTTTTTTCAAAATTAAAGTTAAGGTTCAAATTCCTTAGTATAAAATTACAAATCTTAAATTCTTTTATATATGAAATTGAAGACATCTTTTAATAACGTACGTACATAACTACTTACTAATGAATGGCAAAATATATGAACTGAGTGACAACGACAAAATTTAGCATTTTTACCCTTGAATCACCTCCATTAGGCCAAATAAATTCCACTTCATCCGGATAGTCATCATCTGCTTCAACAAAGCCTCCAACGGCGAAAATCTTATTCCCCGTGCATGTCATGACGTGGTCAGTCCGAGCCGTCAACATGGGAGCTTTCGCGAACCATTTGTTACATAAAGGGTCATACTGGTACACCAGACACCTTGTCCATGGATCCCGCCCGCCACTGACAAACATCGTGCCATTCCACACACAACCTGTTGATTGGTGGAGTTGTAAGATCGGTTATGGTATATAAATATATATATATATATATATATATTTATATCTCTTTATATATATGTATATATGTATATATATATATATATATATATCGATATGTTGAACAGTCATCAGTTAAGTCGTACGAGTAAGATAAAGTACACCATCTCCCATCAACAACCATAGGTGCAATTTTGCGAACACCCAAATCTTTTCAGGCTAGACGCGTTTCGTCCCTTATGGGACTCATGGGTAGCCCGAGTTAAAGGAACAGCTTGCGCGATTCTTATCTAAATGCGTAAGATCGCAAACTAAGGTTTACAAAATCACATTTTAGTCGCTAGGGCCGTACTTTTCACTCTGCCGAATTGAAGAAAATTGAAAAAATGAGTAAGAATATAGGTGAGAATAGTCGATCTTTCGATCTGTATCTGATGACAGATCAACTATTCTCACCTATATTCTTACTCATTTTTTCAATATATATATATATATATATATATATATATATATATATATAGGGTTTAGATTATCATAAATACAATTATTAATTAAGATTACTGCGTCTACTGCATTGTTCAACTTGTAGTTGATTAAACCCAAAATTTCTATCAAGGACATGGACTTAATGTGTCGTCACTGATGGAAGAGACGATGATCATAGAGAAAAAAAGACAACTACAAGTTGAATAATGACGAAAACGCAGTGATCTTTATAAATAACGTTAACGTTATTAATAATTTTTTGTCAAAAATGTCAAATATTAAAAGTTTTTTTCGAAAATTAATACAAATTTGAGCAAATGTTTTATAGTTAAAATTGAATTATTAATAGAAACCACAAAATAAAGATATTAAAGACCTGCCAAATTCGCAACTGCATGAGGTAGAGGTTCCGCCATGTACCATCGGTTTTCACTTGGTACGTATTGTTCAACAGCTGGAGTTAAGCCGACCGCGATGTCGTAATTTGCGAGGCAACCAGCAACTGCAAAGAGATTGCCAGCTAGCCCTCCAAAATAGAAATCAACCTTCGTTTGATGCATGCTGCAACACTGAATATTTATTAGATACTGAAATATTTACAATTAAATTAAAGTATATGGGTTAATATATATATATATATGTGTGTGTATATATAATATATATATATATATATATATATATATATGTGTGTGTGCGTGTGTGTTTGTGTGTGTGAGTTGGTAATAGACCATAATTTTTACAATATTCTATAAATTCTACCTAATGTTTGGCGTTAATATGTTTGTAGTTTGTTTTTTCGATTTTTCTCACTAAAGTTTTTTAGTGAACGTTTAGTTTATTAAAATTCAAAATCTCAACTCCCAACCCGGCGCTTAACCAACAATGAAAACAAAAAAGTAATAAAAACTAGCTTTGTAAATAGTGACAAAGAAGAATATGATGCTATCGATGAAGAAAAGGAGACCAAAGTAGATGACCAGCCAATAAAGAAACCTGACACCTAATTTCCATCTAACTTCGTTTTGACAAAGTCATTATTTCCCTATATAAACATCAACCGCACTGATGATGATTCATTCGGAATCGAAATATGGCCTTATTTGCAGCATGAATTCGGGACATAAGTTTATTTTGAATTTTAATAAACTAAACTAAACGTTCACCAAAAAACTTTAGTGAGAAAAATCGAAAAAACGAACTACAAACATATTAACGCCAAACATTCGGTAGAATTTATAGAATATTGTAAAGATATATATATATATATATGTATATATATAATGCTTAACAACGTGCTTAGACCATGTGCTTAAGTTTGAAAGCACGTGGTTTAAGCACCACGTGCTTTCAAACTTAAGCTCAAGTTGAAACCACGGATTTTTTAAGAAATTCAGTAAAAATCATGAATCATTTTGCAACAAAAAAAAAACAAAAGAACATTATAAGGCAGTAAACTGATACTGCAACACTGAAAATTTATTTGATGATAATTATTATTATTAAATAGATATTGAAATATATACAATTAAAGAAAAAGGTGGTAAATGGGTTATATATATATATATATATATATATATATATATATATATATACTTAGATGTTGTACATTTAAGGCGATTCATAGAATAAACTGCAGCAGCTATTAAAAAGAATGAATAATTCCATTCAGTTACACCTTGCAATTTTAAAACAGATGCTCAGAAAAAACAATTTAAAAATAGTAAACCTTAGACCAAACAGCAGCAATCGGATTGTACATGAAAACTCTGCCAGAGAAACTACCATCATTTGTCCATTTTTCGAACAGATACAAGCAGTTGTCAACCACACAGGCCTTACGAGTCACATTACATGGTGGTCGGCTTCTTCTTGATGGATTGAATTTGACTGGTGATGGGCCAGAGTTGTCCCTACTGAATTTGCAAGCTTCAACAAAATCATAAACTGGAAGAATATCAACAAAGCTTTTTTTTTGGCCCTGAAATAAAAATCCGGATGAAAATATGTGAAAATAGCAACGAAATTAATTAAATTCACACCTTGATTTTAGTTGATCCAAGCGTAAAGAGTATACCAACTGTACGAGAAATATTAGAATCTTTATCTGTATCATAGCTAATATTTAAATTTAGATCAAGAATTGTGTCAGTACATTTTTGCTTATCCGAGGTTGTCATCAGACTGTACCTCACTTCGGTCAACAATTTTTCTGCAAAACATTTTCTCGACGGATCCTCCGAAACCCACCTGATTATCAGATTGAAAATATCCATTTCGCTGTCTGCATTCATTTCCTCTGATGCAACCAAGTAAAGCATTTCGTCTGGTGATAATGATATTTTGCAGCTTTCTGGGATCTCTTTGAAATACTTCAACATGAATTTGATAACTTTTTCGACCACCTGATTATTTAAAACGTACTTGCTTGCGATGTCCAAAATACGAATGCATGCTGACTTGTTCAAATTTTTCAACAACAATTCAATGTAGCTATCAATCATATCATTTATTTGTAGGTAGAAAGCACCATCCAGCCCTGCTTCTATTTCATTCAACGACTTCAGGCTTTCGAACACGTTAGTTGACAATCCGGATAAATAGTCCCTTACTTCTATTAACGATTCATTCGTTAAACATGCCAGAGTAAGCTCTCTATAATGGACATCTTTCATTCCACTGTTCACTAAACTTTGGTAATAACCACTGGCACGTAGGAGCATGTTTCTGTCAACTTGATGACAACCTCCTGTCTTAGAAATTAATACAATTTGCTCTCCTCTTGAACCATCCTTATTTTCTACGTTGTCTGACTCTGCATCCATCTTCGTTTTCAACTCTTTCACAGCTTCGATGTAATTACCAAAATATATATATACACACACACACACATATATATATATATACACACATATATATATTATATATATATATATATACATACATATATACGTTCATTTACTGTCTTTACAACATAGAAGATAACCATACATACACACACACATATATATGTATATACATATATATATATATATATATATATTATATATATATATTATATATATATATTTTTATACGTTCATTACAACATAGAAGCATTTCCACGTGCAAGCAATGGAGCTATGGCGAAACTTCATCAAAAAAATATATCTTTGCGCAAACACGTGGTTCACACATACACACACGTACGCACATTCGTAGTCATTAGCATCATACTAAAACTGAATAAAGCCATGTGTTTAAGTTGAAACCACAGATTTTTTACGAAATACTGTGAAAAATATGAACCACAGGCCATGTAGTAGTTCTTGTTGTTGTTATTGTAGTAGTAGTAGTAGTAGTAGTAGTAGTAGTTGTTGTTGTTGTTGTAGTAAATGTTGAAGTTGTTGTAGTAGTGATGTGTTCCAAATAGCCACAAATGAATGCAGATGATAATTGCTCCAATTTTATTTGTTCACTTTTGTGCTACTGCCTTGCATGTTGTAACAGTTTCTGGGTCCTTCAGATCCTGATTTTTAAAGAATAATAAAAAAAATAAAAAATAAAAAAGTTAACCAGAACATATAATATAATCAAACATGTTATAATCAAAAATTAAGTCCTCGTTAGCCATATATACTTATCAAGTTTGATTTTACATTTTAGGACAGAAGCGGAGTCAAAAATTACTTATTGCGAATTGTCCCATGCTGAAAAGATCCTGTTTGTAAAGAAGAATTTAGTAATAGTTGTTGTAGTAGTAGTAGTAGTAGTAGTAGTAGTAGTAGTAGTGATATGTTCTAATATATAGTTAACAAAAAACACATTAGAAACACTGCGGTTATTTTGTCGACGTTGCCTGATTTACTGTGCTTCGATTTTTTTAATAATTGATATGAAGAATGGACATGCATTAAACTACCATTAAGGCATGCCAAAATGTCATTGTTCTTTTCTTGACGAATCATTTACTCAAATGTCAAAACAAATTCAATGTTTTATTACTTATTATTATTTATTATTAATTTATTTTTTGACGCGTCTGTCACATCCTGTTCGACACAGTCTCACGTAATATATACATCACTCTAAATATATAACATCATTATATGTAGCTATGTATACACATTATTGTAAATATTTTATTTGTTTGCAACTAAATGAACAGAATAAAAATTTGGAAAAAATATTTTGTATTCTTATATATCTCTAGGGTTTGAGTAATTAGAAATGTTGTATTCAGTTGTTAAAATAGTGAAAACCTATTAAAAAATTTTCGTGAAATAAATACCTAGCAGGAAAGCTCTAATAGATTACTCCGGTAGGAAATAACGCCAGGTAGTAGTTAAATTAAAAATACAAAGAATTTCGATAAGTCTATTCATCATTAATTGATAAATCTAGTTTGTGATGTGACAATATTAAAATCAAACATCGGAAATAATCAATAAACTAAAAAAACTGGTGTACAAGTTTGAGCGCAAAGTTTACTTAATTTTTATTTTTTTCTACTATCTGCAGTGCACGGTAAATGTTTTCGATCTTGAGAGAAAGAAAACAAGACATACTAGACAGTTAATACTGAAATTCTAATCTTTTTGGAATCCAGTTATGTATAAAGTTTATATAATTTTGAATTGTTTATTAATCGTTGTGGTGCAGGGTAAATGTTTTCGGTCTCGAAGCAACCTACTTGCTCTGACAACCGACCTGACATCAAATAAAAGTTGTTCCAACTGCAGTCTCTGCGGCATGTCAGCGCAATCTGCACCAACCTCTGTAGAGAACATAACATTGCAAAGCAGCACCAACGATGCTACCAAGATGTTGATGGAGTGTGCTTGGATGTGTCAAACTACTGCCCATTGCGTTGGATTCAACATCAGATGGAACAAAACAAGCTCTAATGAGAATGTACTTTGTCAGTTCTTCTCTTACACTCCTCAACTCTATCTCTCCGTGGATCTCTGCGTCTTTTATGGGGTGAATTATTTTATAATTTTTGTTAGGTGCATGTATTTTTCAAAGTTAAAGTTACAACTTTTAAAAACTTTCAGCTATTCATTAAACTGCTTATAACATAGACTTCCCCTGTATTTTTTAGGATCTTTCCGATTTGGACAAACTTTTCAGCTTCTTGCCAAGTAATTACGACATTACTATTAAAAAATTCATGCTTTCATAATTGAGCTCCTAACTCACTCCACTAAACTAATAATAAATGAACGCTTTATAGGCATACATCGATTTAAAAACTTTACTAATTAATAACTTTGCGTTAGGTGCTCCTAGTTTTAGCTTTTGAAACAATGACAACCATCAAATTTTGATTTAATTTTTTTGACGATAAACTGTCTGGAGAACAGTTAAACTGATGCCTTTTGAAACAATTTAGTTTAATTTAAGCATTTTGCTATATGCATGTGTTCTTTTTTTTTAATATTTAGTTTCATTTGTAAAAGTTTAGAAGTACAACCAGCAAGGAATTTATTGTTGTTTAGTAACGGGAAATTAATTAAAAATTTTTCTGCTCTAACTTTTCAGATAAAAATTCATATAATTTTTTTTTCATAAATTTTCAAGATATTGCAAAAACTTTTTCGATATAAATATAATTTCACTAAAAACAACCATCAGGTTTGTACCCAAGAAATCCTGCATTCTGTGCTGATTACTCTACGAAGAACAATTACTTTGTGAGTTGCATTTTAAGAACTTTTATAGATTTAGTAGATACAAATACAAAGATCTATACTTTTTTAACTATCATTTTTAAAAAACTTAAAGTTTAGAATAAAATTCTTATGAATAGAGATGCTGTTGGCATATTTTTTGCCAACCTAACCTCGCCAGGTTATGCAGCGTCGCATGGATGGCTCGGAGAACTTTTACAGAAACTGGACTGATTATGAAAGAGGATTTGGTGACCCGAGGAAAGAGTTTTGGATCGGTTAGTTTCATTTAATCACTCAAACGTGAATTGCATAAAAACTTTTCAACCAGGAAACGACAACATCCACCGCATAACGTCCAACCAAAAGTACAAAGTTTTGTTCGTGTTGGAGGATTTCGAAGGGAAGGTGGCATGTGCAGCTTATGATTCATTCAGTGTTGGCTCGCCAGATACTTACTACGTTCTGAACATTGGAAACTACAGTGGAACAGCTGGTCATTCAGAGTTTACAAAACTTAATTTAAAGTATTCAAATTCACATTAATACATTTATACTTTTTAAATACATTTTTATCAGGGGACTCAATGACTTTTAACAACGGCATGGCATTCACAACGTACGACGGAGATCACGATTTAGCCAACTACAATTGTGCGCAGTCATTCCAAGGTGCATGGTGGCATAAAAATTGCTTTGAAGCCTGTCTCAACGGTTTGTATCTCAAGGGAGTTCATTCTTCTTTTGGCCAAGGAGTCAACTGGCTAGGATTCCGTGGTTTTTATTATTCTCTCAAGTTTACAGAGATAAGGATTGAGTTAGTTTAACTGCTGCCGAATGTAGTTATAACTATCGCATACATTTTAAAAACTTGCTTAGTTTTTTTCTTTATGAACAAGATTCGTCATTGCAACTGAAATTTATAGATTTTCAATAGTAATAGATTCGATGTACCACATAACGCTAGAGAAAATTTTAGTTAATCCCATATCTGTGCGTCTTTTTTTAAGTTCTAAAAAATGCTTCAAATGTACATAAAGTTACTCATAACAATTGAAATGAAACATCTCAGAGCCTTTGCTGAAAGATTTTTTTCAAATAACTTATTTACACAGGAACTGTACTTTGCCACACCTTATTAATGGTATTTGAAGTATGACCTGACAACTGCCTGACACTTGACAACTATTTAATGGGTTCTGAGTCTCATAGCTAGATTTGATCGACTTTCAGTTGCATAAAATTCCTACTTCACTAGTTAAAGGCTGAGGACAAAAAAATTTTAAGCGGTGCTTGGGGTAAATAATTGGAGTTGTTTGAGTGAAAACGAACCAAATTTTTGAAAAAGTCGATAAATTTAGTTTGATAAGTTTAGTCCTTGAAGGACTCCATGGGGGTGATGAAAGCACGGATGAGTTACGTGTTTTTCGTTCAAGTCATCTCTGTTTGAGGCAATTATTATTTCGGTTGTGTTAGCTAAAATTTGAATGTCATTGTTGGCTTATTTGAAAATTAATGCGCATATCGAAGAATTACGCGTCATGAAAATAGATTTAATTGATTGAATGAAGAACTGGCAACTGGCATTAGGAAGGTAATTAAAAATTATAAAAACATAAATCTACATACCTTTTATATCAAAAAGTTCAAAAGGTTAAAGGTCTATCTCATTCTTCCAAACTTCAGAGGATCCATCAACAGAAAAAAAACAGACATGAAAACTTGCCCAACAGCGCCTCACTCAGAAGGCATGGAATGGCACTGAAACTTAAAATAGTACCATAATGAATAATAAGACGGTTTTCACTGCAATTCAGTTTCTTTATGAATGGAATAGTTGTATGATAGAGTACTTATTTGACTATGTGAGAAAAAGAAGGAACGGACACTGATGAACCAAAAAATTCTTAATTGTATTTAGTTTATATCGTTTGAAAGTTTATAGTAACAAAGCATGTGTACGTCGTGTGAAAAGGATAAAGAGCTTTTGTGGCGAAGATGGCTGCTTCATATCAATAGATGAAGACATGAAGAACATAATAAAAAGATATACATAGATAATAAACCTGTAACATTGTAAGTGGTTCTGCGTATGTCAGAGCTGCAACAATAAAGACTTATAAAAAAAAGTAGTAGAATGAAATATGAACGAGTGCAGGCTGAACGACATTCATAATCTGTGGATATTTCTACTTTTCAAACGCTGCCTATTCCTAGGTTGAAATCGAAATCGTTTTAATACGTATGTAAAAAGTTCGTCGACATTGCTAAAATAAATGCTTTTCATTTTTGTCCAGTACTTCGTTTCGCCATTTTTGGAGTTAGTTAATCACTGGATCTGGATACAAAATATCATTAATTTATTTTGGCGTCTGTTTATATATAAATTAAGTGCGAATTTATTGTCTTTTCGACACCACACTCAAATTCTCGCATGGTATTTAAGCACAATGAACAATTTTTTGATATAAACAAAATTCAGGCATGATCTACAATGTAGTATACATTCAAGAAACAAAATTATTACAAAGTATTCATTAAGAGATTTGGAAATTTGAGCGTGAGGCAGCCCAAGAAGAAAAAGCTGGATTCGAATGTAAAAAAAAATTATAATAGAAACGTGTATGTACGTGTTTCTAAGGCAGACGTCCTAGAGAGCTACACGAAAATGATACGACACTAATATTAGAACAAACAAAGCATGAACGTTTTCTAGTTGAAAAAAAGAATTATTTGTGTTTAAGTTGTATAAGTGTGTAATTGTGTATGCGTGTGTGTGTGTGTGTGAGTTGTGTGTGAGTGTGGATGTTTTTTTGTGTGGGATGTTTGTATGTGTGTGTGCGTCTATTTTGTTAATTAAAGAATTATTGTGAAGAACATGAGACGCCATTGTTGTAGAGATTGTATTGTAATTAACGAAAATAATCTATTTGTTGGGCAATCACAGTCAACAAAATATATTTTAATTGATGATGAAATATTTCCATGCAAACATTGCTGTTTTTGTTTATGCCAATAATCTATTGTTCCTCATTGTTTGATGATGGTTTTTCCCATGGGTCATTCGGTTTATTTCTTCAGCAGACAAAAGTTGTCGGGACCAAAATTGCGAATTTTGACTATATTTTTACAGAATTGATGCTGATTTAGAAATTGCTTGGCATTAGTTTATCAAATAACTTCAACAATATACATATGTCTCATCAGTTTGACTGAACTAATTATAAAAAAAATGGATTGTTGGAAGTTTCTGAAAGTTTAACTTTAAACTTTTTGAAAGGTAGCAACAGAGATTTCAAGAGATACTGTTGCAAAACTATTTCAACTTGTGGTAAGCTTGTTGAGCCCCATTTCAAACGTGCAATTACTAAGGGACAGTTCAAAATGGTAGATCGATACCTATTTATTAGTATTAGTATTAGTATTTATATATTTATTTATTAATTTTTCATGAAAAGAAAATTGTTTTATTAGCAAAGACCTCTTTTATGTTTTCCCATTCATTGATCACGAATAAGCAACATACTGCACCAAACGAACCTCTCCAACGACAATTTAGCAATCTTCCTTTTCAGCGAAAAATAGAAACTAATGCGAATTATTTATCTGATTGCGGCAGACATGAAACAGAGATGAACAGTCAAATCGAATAAATAATAATACCAACAAATGTTACAGAAATGAAATGACTATTGTAGTTAATATTGCATTCCAAAAAATATTTTGGGAATAAAAACGTTCTTATACATGTCAATATATAATATAAATATATATATTAATAATAATATAATATATATATATATATATAAAGAGAACGAGAAGAGAGAGAGAGAGAGAGTCATATAACACTCGGTCCTCGAATGTGACGAAATCTTTCTCATTTGGTTTGAATAACGCTTGGAGCACTTCAACTATGTTTATAGTTTATATAATTTTGAATTGTTTATTAATCGTTGCAGTGCGGGGTAAATGTTTTCGGTCTCGAAGCAACCTACTTGCTCTGACAACCGACCTGACATCAAATGGAAGTTGTTCCAACTGCAGTCTCTGCGGCATGTCAGCGCAATCTGCACCAACCTCTGTAGAGAACATAACATTGCAAAGCAGCACCAACGATGCTACCAAGATGTTGATGGAGTGTGCTTGGATGTGTCAAACTACTGCTCAATGTGTTGGATTCAACATCAGATGGAACAAAACAAACTTAGCTGAAAATGTACTTTGTCAGTTTTTCTCCTACACTCTTCAACTCTATCTCACCATGGATCTCTGTGTTTTTTACGGGGTGAGTTTTCCAATTTATATTTTTAGTTGTCCGCACGTAGTATACATCAGAATAAAATTTATAAATTGGACAAACCTTACCTTTAAATAGAATATCACTTTATTTGTTTTAGGAAGCTCTGACAAGCTAAAAGCTGCTTTCAAATCGTTCTTTACTTAATTACAGCCGAACTGAACTTTTAGTGCCAAAAAGCACACACAAGACTCTCGTAGGCATGATCGAGAGTTGGACAGCCACTATTCGAGCCAGGTCGTCATGCAATAACAGCTCGAAACATGACATTTTTACCCTTTTAGCTAACTCGCCAACAATTTGTTCACCCATGAAATTATTTCCATGAATATTCTCAGAATCTGTCCGACTCGGACAAACTTTCCAGCTCTTTGCCAAGTATGTTCGATGTTATTAAAAATTAATTTATAACATTACACCACCACAACCATTCTCTTATAATTAAACTGCCAACTCACTCTAATAAATTTTTACAACATAAATGCTTACAGAAGAAATGCATTATTTTAAAATTTTGACTTAATGGTTGCTGAAGATATGATGGTGCTGTTTAATGACAAATTTTGACCATTACATTTGGACGTCTAAGAGACACAGTTAAACTATTTTGTAAAGACTTTCTATAAATTAATCAGAAATATTTTAACAAAAAATATTCTTTTTCGCAGTCGTTTTATTTTCATATAAAGCGTACTTTTTATTTAAATAAATTAGATTTCAGCCGTTAAAGTTTACTGAAAATATTATTTAATTAACATATAACATAATAAAATTATACTAATTTTAAGGTTTCTTTGTTTAAGTCAATTTGCATTACCTTTCTAAACATTACTACTAAGAGAAACATTTTCTTTAGGTTTGTTTCCAAGGAATCCATCCTTTTGTGCAGAATACTCTGCGAGGAACAGATATTTCGTGAGTTTTATTTGTAAGAAAATGAGGATGTATGTATAAAAATTATATGTATGAAAATCTATCTGCTTATCACATTTTGATAAATTTGAAAGCGCCTAAAATTAGATTTTCATAGAGTAGTCTTACTTCCATATAATGAGCTGGTTTTTAATAGCATTCAACTGATCAACCATATTAAAAGAAAAAACATGATCTGAATTCGAATCGTTCAAATTTCCATTTGTTATAAATCTTGAACAACCATTGAACAATTTTTTTCGCCAACATAACCTCGCCAGGTTATGCAGCGTCGCATGGATGGCTCGGAGAACTTTTACAGAAACTGGACTGATTATAAAAGAGGATTTGGCGACCCGAGGAAAGATTTTTGGATCGGTTAGTTTCATTTAATCACTCAAACGTGAACTGCATAGAAACTTTTCAACCAGGAAACGACAACATCCACCGCATAACGTCCAACCAAAAGTACAAAGTTTTGTTCGTGTTGGAGGATTTCGAAGGGAAGGTGGCATGTGCAGCTTATGATTCATTCAGTGTTGGCTCGCCCAGTACTTATTATACGATGAGTATTGGAATATACAGTGGAACCGCAGGTAGTTTCATTTTTTGGGCAATTTACAATCTGGACAGAAGATATTCAATTGGATGATAAATCGCTCATGATATTAAACAGGTGACTCAATGTTTAATTGCAACGGCCTGCCTTTCTCAACCTACGATGCTGATCATGATTTGCTCACATCGAATTGTGCTGTTAGTTTTCAAGGGGCTTGGTGGTACGACGACTGCTTCTGGGCCTGCCTCAATGGCTTGTACCTCCATGGAGCCAACACTGCAAACTCAAAGGGTGTCAATTGGTACGATTTTCGTGGTTTCACGTATTCTCTCAGATTCACTGAGATAAGAATTCAGTTGATTTGAACTCGCATTTATTTTTCGATCTAATCAATTTTTCTATCAATAGGACAAAAATCATTTTCTAAAATCATTTTAAAATGAATTGGTGGGTTATAGACTAGAGCCCTGCGGTTTTAAACCGCGGTGTGGTTAAAACATACACCAAACTTCTCGGATTTTGAGGTTTGTAGGTATTGTTTTGGTGGTTTGCTAACTAACAACGCAAAATACACAATTCACAAGTTATCTAAATTTAAATAAAGTGTAACTACTCGCTGGACAAGTTAATAAATTAGTTCAAACAAATTTTAACAACTTTTCAACTGATATTTAATTCTCGGGTTTGATTGTATAGTTTTTCTCAGCTACGTACACCGTTGTAATTATCATTAATCGTATGCATGCACTCTCTATCTTCTTGTAAAATGTTTTGCCATAAAATACATTTCCAGAATTTTACGCGTCTCTATCGTATATTTATTATTCCAACTTTTTCTACTGAGAACGATATTCATTAAGAATGCATTTACATACTTAACGAATCAATGATACCTTTCAAGCCAAACTGATTATTGTTCTCTGATACAATTGTTTCGTATTTATTCAAGACGACAAGGGGAACGATATTCATTAAGAATGCATTTACATACTTAACGAATCAATGATACCTTTCAAGCCAAACTGATTATTGTTCTCTGATACAATTGTTTCGTATTTATTCAAGACGACAAGGGGAACGAAATATATGACAGCTATTCAGAAGCTAATGAAAAGTCGATAAAACAAATAAGGCAGTTATTAAGTTAAGGCATTTCCACCCATCATCCATTCCATTCACCATGCATTCCATTCACCATTCATTTAATCTTCCGCGTATTCTCGACAAGAGGAAACAATTCCACATTTTGGTCTATATAATCGATATTTTCTGGTCCAAAATCTTTTTCTGACTCATGTAAGCAAGTATCAGATGGCACGATAGTGTAATGGTTAAGGTGTCTGGCGTCGATGTTGCCGTGAATGGGTTTGAAAACAATGAAATCCCCGCCTGTCACACGCAAATGTGTGTACTGAGATGGTTCGGGCGTATTTATTAATATTTGCATGTGTGTTTGTTGTTGACACATGCAAAAATGCTGAAGAGAGAACTTAGTACGCTAATAAAATTCCGGAGGTTGAACTTTTTTTTTACAGTTAATAACATCTGCAAGAACCATGGATATTTATAACGGATATAGCAGATCTCATATATGTATAAGGTAATGGCAAGAACTAAATTAATATTTTTTTGTTTGTGAATAAAATAAAGTTCCAGTCTTACGTGTAGCACATGACATTAATTGATAGCTCTGATATTGTGGAGCTATAGCCTCATTGAAAAAATGTCATCAATTGAATATTTATACATATAACCACTTAATTCAAAAATATATTTTGATTTTAAATGAAATTTAGCAAGTAAACGGGATCAATTTAAATCACTACTTATATATAGTCAATTATTTAATTTTGTAATTATATCATATGCATAAGGATTATAAATTTATATACATATTTACCATATAATTAGAATAAATATAACGGCCTTCGCTCATTTTTGACGGTCGAACAAGGAGCTTACTTCCGAAGGGAAATTGGAGGGTGATTTTTTATCGCCCAAGTCAAAAGTTACGATCGTATATTTACTAATTTCGGAATATTGCTTTTATTTAAAATTTCAAAATGTTTTTTAACTAGATGCTGTTTTAGGATAGATATTGCTGTATGACGGTTAAGTATCTTTTTGCATTTTAAATAAAAAAAATTTTTTGTGAACCACCAACAACACTTTTTAACTCATTAACTGTAACAACACTAAACGACGACTAATTAGTAATTAAATTACTAAACTCTAATAATTAAGCTAAAACTAAACTCTACTGATTCTAATTACCAATAGAAATAAATAACAGATAACACTAACGAACATTAACAGATTAGGCTACTAGAAACTACCAACCACTACACTACTCTACTACATACTACTACTACACTAACGACTAACAGCACTTGTTCCTAAGATCCTAAATTCTATTGCTTGATTGGTTTTAAAATTTTTATTTACAATGCTTAGGTCTGGGAATAAAAAATATACTAACTAAATTAAATAAATATATTAAACAACTTATCAATCAATTTTATAAAATAAACACTTTTGTAATTTGTTCAATTCAAGCTTCAAACTCCCCAAGCTAACTTGCAATTTAATTAAAATTTATTAATTATGAGTGATTCAAACATTTAATGTTTTACAAAATATTCCTCATTCTTAAATTGTAGTACATGTTGTTATTAAATTTATTAAAGATAATGTGTGATTCCAGTGATTCATAAATCCATGACTTGTTAGATCATGATCATTCAGTTTTAAAGAATCCCCATCACCATAACCAATGAGGTTTGTAAAATTTGTACTTTTAATTTATTATATTTTATGCACTTAGAATGTTGTTTTATTAATTATTAATACCTCGGGAAACCGGGTCTCTGGACGCAAAACGAAGATTGATTGATTGATTAATTATTATCATTAATTTATTAAATGCTGTGCATACCTATGGCAAGTAAATAAAATAATTAAGCATAGAAATAGCCACAATCAAATTAATTTATATAGGCATGAGTATAATTTGGATAATAATAATTAAAAATATCGGTATCATTGAAAAC